TGAATCAAGTACCCATTTCCCCCCCCCCCCTCGAACGCTGACGAAAGCTCGAGGAATTTCAGGATACACAAGGCTCGCGAGACTATGCGGCGAACTAGCTCGTAGACACGCTTTACGAATACGTTGCGCGTAGTTGCGCGTAGTTGCATTTTCGAGTTCCATTAGCACCGGTGGCTCGACCGTCGTTATTGTGTTAGTGAAGTTTGAAACAAATCTGAAAATATATGTAAAGATTGTTCAGGATATTTGGTACAAACATTCACTTTACTTCATCGGTATTTAAACGTTATATTAAGTAACATTTATTATATGCTTCAGACATGCTGTATATTAATTTTGTACTAAATTATAGTTGCAATAAGTATCTCATAATTTCCATATACGCTCTCAGATTGGTTTTAAAGTTGATCGGTGTAATCATATACTCGTGTCTCGTTAAATAATGAAACTCCAAAATTGTAATCTGTATCGCTACTTGAACGTTTATCCTGTTTAATTCATCTTAGATTATACTAATAAAGATCATGTCAGTCGTCTATAATGCTACTGATGTACATATACATACGTACGAGTTTTCCATATTAAATGTTCAAATATTTTCGTGAATCAGTGTACATTCGTGATTACCACGAATTAGAAAAAATCGCGTTATCTGTTGTTAACGTAGCTGATTCGTGATCGCGAGATATTAATAAGAGGCCATTCATTTCGATAGTGATACGACGCTTTGTTCCTTGATACTGCGATGAAAAACATGGATGAAAAACTGTCCGCATCTCGCGACCCGACTCCTTACTGCTCCCCTAAGAAGTTAGTTCAAAATTGTGCTTTCTTTATCTTATCTCTGTCACTCCAATATAAGAACTAGTTTAGCACGCTTTTAACGTAATTTCTTCTCTATTTAACAGAGAGATTTTTATTTGCTGAAGTTTTATTATCTGAAAGTTCTGTCGGCTCGTTTTGGTGAAATATGCAATTGGAAATGGGGAGGAAACGCTGGCTTTATTATTGTACACGTTCTTTATTCTATATGGAATTTCACAATTACAGGACGCTACTGTATAAACGACGGCTACGGGTGATCTGCATGCAATTTTGCGAGAAATGTGTTTCGATTACGTCGGACGATTCACTTTCATGTAGCTTCCAGTGATGGTCGATAGAATCGGATTCCTAGAATCATTAACCCACTTCTCGTATGCTGGGCCATTCGCTTCAACATTTGCCAGGATTTCAACATTACTCTGATTATTATTCTTGAGTCATTTTCGAAAAGTACCTCATTCAGCCTCCAATATATGCACATCGTCCTTCTAATCTCTAGTTCAGTTATACAAGGTAATTTATCAGTTAATTAGTACCCTCCGGAATCTCTCGAAACGTTCTAAATACGGCATTGGAACATTTAAGTATTTCAGTTTGATCCTTGATAAAATGACATAATACAGAGAGTCAAATGTGTTTTGATCTCGAACGATATCAAGTCGTTCCTACGATCGAAGTTGGGATTCTCTGGTTGAACGCTAGCCAGCGAATGCCTGATGCACCCGTTGCTCTTCAATCACGTGTATCTTTCTGTCTAGCTGCTGATCGGCTTCACCTTCTCCTCCGTCATGTCCTCCACCTCCAAGTTGTCCGCATTTACCACCTTGATCCGATCCACCGGCTTCGGCCGCATCAGAATGAACGGCAGCTCCGCGGAGAGCTCTCCGCTCAGCGCACCTAAATAGAGCTTCACCTTGACAGCGTAAGAAACCACAATGCCGAAGGAATCGCGGACGTCTGGCGAAAGAAGCAAGGTGCTCGATGCAAGCTCGCTCTCTTCCCTCTTCAGCTTACCGTCCAAAGCGATGCCCCTACGATGCTTGTTGTTCTCCAACTCCGGCTTTAGATATAGAACTTTCGTCAGATTCGAGCCAGGATTGATAGGGCAGCCGTCTTGCGTCTCCACCGCGTCGATCACCGTTCTAAATTGGCCATTCTGGAAAATCACCACGTCGATACCCTGCTGCACCAGCGCCTTGATCTTCTTCACGACCTTGTTGCTATTGTTCCTCACGCATACGTTCACGGCTATTCTCTCGCCGTGATGGTACAGCTGTTTGTCCAGGGTCACCTCCAGTTCCAGATCGCCGGGGCTCAGCAAGAAGTCCTTTCGTACCACGGTGCAAGGCTGTCGACCTTGCTTCGTGGGTGCGTACTGAATTTTCCTGATGCCGATGGTCACCGTGCTCCTCTTGTGAGTAACGTCGGTCTCCGTGTCCCCCGAGTAGATCTTGATGTAGTAACTCACACCGCAAGGCTCCCCTGTCTGGTCTCCGCCTGGCTGCAGAGTCACGCTGGACGGCGCCGTCTGCGGGAACTTGAAGGTGAACGGAATAGCGTTCGACCCTAGTTTTCGGAGCAGCCGTTCCTGCAACCTGGTCAGATTATCCTCCATCTTCTTGGTGGTTGGAAACAGCTGCTCCGATACCAGATAGAGATCCTTCTGGAAGTTCAAACCCATCACCTCGTCCTCCTCTCGGCCATAGCGAAAGCTGCACACCAGCTGTCCCCATATCTTTCTACCTGTGTTCACGTAGTCCTGGTCCAAAAGGATCACACCGTCTACCGGCTCGATCCCCGACAGGTAGTCGATGTAGTCTCGTTTGCCCAGGTATATGGAGATTTTGCCGTTTGGCGAGCATTTCTTGAACACCTTGAAGTTCACCACCATGTTCCCGTGAGCGCGACAGTAGTGTCTGTTGATTCTAGCACAACCGTCGTCGACTGAGTCGAGAGGGTTGCGATCGTGATCTTATATAGGAACGCGGGTACCAGTGACGTCAAGATCTTTCAGGGCTTCTGAATCCATTCAGCGTCACGGATAAACCGCGTCTTTGTGCTCGCGTTGTTTTTAACCTTTCCCGCGGTATATTTTTTCTGCGGTGGTTTATGCTGGCTGGCGGGGAGTGCGTCGATTCTTCGACGTAAGAACAGGCCACGCTTCGGACACAATGATTTTCGCGGGCTTCGTTCTATTGTCATAATCTCGCTTACTTCGACTACCCTTTCCTTACGTACAAAGGTGACAAATAAATGTTGTGATGTAAGCCACTTATGAGAAAAGACGATGGGTTTCATTTACGCCTTTTATGAATTATTGGATTTATTTCTTGTATCATATTTCTTACACGCTCTTCTTTTTGCTATTTTTCTTTCACTTCTAACTTTGATCGCTTTCGAGAAGAATTTATTTCCCTGTTTAAGTATTTTATTCCTTGATTTTATTGTGCGAAGGAATTAAATAATTCTAATTATGTAATAATTGTTTATTATAATTGTAATTATGGTTGATTGTTTATCGATTATTTTAGTGTTGATATGTTATCATCAAAACATAAAGTGTTTTGTGATATGTTATCATCAAAACACAAACACAATTTTCCAGATAGTGCAGAATAAAATTGATAGAGGAGGAAACTGTTTCTAAATCATCATATCATTGCGTGTATTATAATAAATATAAACGAGATACTTACATACTTCACCACTTTATTGCTACTGTAACCTTTATTTAGGATAAAATCATTAATAATCATGGCGTCTATGTATTTTGTGCTGTCTTTGTAACATAACCTGCACCAAAAATTAGAACAAATTTATTAAATGAAGGCAAATGTGTGAAATTGAAACGATAATCAACTTTAAATCCTATTTAAAAAGCGAATTGAACGATTTCATTATATTATATTATGCAATAAAATTATTATTTTAACTGTTAAATAAATTCTTAATAAATTATTGTTGTTTAGTATTAGAAATGTTAAGAATTACGCAATATGAACTTAAAGAATCAACGACTAAGAAAATTGATAGAGGAAAATGTTATAAGAAAATGTTATAATAGAAGTGTATAAAAGCATATAATAAAATATATGTATGGTGTGTATTTACATATATATATATAAAACAATGAGTTAATCAATTACAAGGTTACAATATTTTTACTGGTAGAATTGAAATTAAATTTTGATATATAATTATAAATAACTTTCAACAGAGTATGTTCTATTTAAATGTTTATATTCTATTATTCCTTTCTTAATTGTTGAAAATTATGTGTAATAATTATTTGGTTAAATCTTACCTTGAGTTGAAAAAAATGCATGTTTTATTTTAAATATTCACAACACAAACACAAACTAACAAGTATTGATTTACAGTTTTATCTGAGAACTTTTGGATGATACTTCTTTCTGGATGATTCTTTTGGATAATACTTTGTTCTTTACAGATGAGGCGTGCTCTTTTCCGCCATGCTTCCCGCTTAAAAATCGATCGTGAGAAATATCGATTAGGATCGAGAATCGTAGGAAGTATATTCCGTATTTTATTATTGGAGCGCTGTAATCGCGCGTTTCGCGCGAAATGATAATTTGGAATAAAAAATAAAAAAACTCAATCAATTTTTTTTAATACCTTTAAATAGATGTAAGTAATCAAATATATAATGAATTTTTATATATCGTTATATTCCTTGGGAAAATCGATTATTCAATAAATAACTCTCGAAGCAAACGTGACAACATTGTTCATAGTATTTTATTTTAATTCTCATCACTAGTAGTGTGATACAAAACCTAAATGTATGACAGGATGTTATACGAAAATGGAAAGAGAGTCTTAGAATCCCGAAATCGAGGGATGTATTGTTTGCAAGATCTGTTCATATACTTACTTCGCTGTATACATATTGAATATATGTAGATGAACAGAGTAAATTGCAGAGGGCGCAAAAAGCAGTTTAACTTCGGGGTCGGTATTTCAGAACGTGAGAACACAAAATTCCATACAATGTCATGTCTATTCCGTTCTTAGTCCATGGTATCACACAACCAGTGGTTATACATTATGTGAGAGAACTAGGTTTGAGTTCGGTACGCTCTGGTTTTTTCTAGAAATTTTGAAACAGAGTGACATGTTTTGAGAGACGCGAGTGACATTGTTTGAAATTAAAAATGTCAGAAAGTACGGATACCAAACTTGACACAGTAAGTTATGTTTGATTCGATCAGTAACGTTGAATACTTTATTTTAAGAATGTTATTTTATCAAAAATCCTTTTTACCTTATACTGGAGATACTTTACTGTGATACCATTTGCAAACAACCTATAGAACCAATATTATATTGATACTGTCAATTATCAAACTTCCAGTAATTCTTTCAGATATTGGAATTTCAATGTCATGTATTTGTGTAACTTTTAATTTTAGGTCAAGCCTATGCTTGTGGCTATACCATCTGATTCATCCAAGAAACCAGTCAAGTCAACCGCCGTTGTAAAATATTCGGCTGTTCAAACACCAGCAACTTATGCTCAATTACAATGCAATACAGATTTAAACTTGCCACCAAGCAATTGGCTCAGCAGTTCTGCAGAAAGTTATGGTCTACAGAGTGTATGGTCTCAAACATCTGGTTTTTCTAGTTTTCGTATGGCACATATGTTCCCTGATTGTGTGGGAGAAGTTGATGTCGTGTCGGATGCGGAAAATATAAAAAAGCTCTTAAAGTTGCCTTACAATCATGGAGTTATATCTATGGTAGTGCACAGAATAGAAAACACATTGTTATTAGATGATTTTGATATTCATAAGTACTTACTCAGACAGGCAGAAAATGACTGGGAATGGTTAAAGAAATTTTTTTATGAGCATATCTTCCAGAATCTGGGAGATAAAGAGAAATGTCTATTTCATAAGACAAGCAACAGAAATACTTTGCAGCAGAGAAACTTGGTATCCAAGTTTTTATATCACTCAATAGTAGTGGCTGATAGTAAAGAGCAACATATTAAACCACAATTACCTGCTAAAACATCGGAGCCGTGTTTGCCAGAACCTTCGCAAGAAGAGGAAGTACCAGATCCAAACTATAATCACAATTTTGCGAGGAATATTGTCTGGACCTTTGAAAATATACAAATGCTTATTGGTACTGATATGCCGATATTTGGAGGACAGACTCATCCATGTATAAGTCTCAGATTGAGGGATATGACTAAACCCATTAATGTGTTAACTGGTATAGATTATTGGTTGGATAATTTGATGTGTAATGTACCTGAAGTGGTAATGTGCTATCACTTAGATGGTATTGTGCAAAAGTATGAATTAATTAAAACAGAAGACCTTCCTAATTTGGATCATTCAAAATTTAGTCCCAAAGTCATCAGGGATGTTGCGCAGAATATTTTAAGTTTTTTAAAAAATAATGCAACCAAAGCTGGACACACTTATTGGTTGTTTAAAGGCAAAGATGATGATGTCGTAAAGTTGTATGATTTAACCTCTTTGTGTAACGATGTATCAGATGAAAAGGGTCAAAATCCATTCACTGTACCTGTTGCTATGTTACTGTACAGAGTAGCCCGTAACATGAAATATTCTTCTGATTATCATAGGCAACAGGGTACTATTAGAATGTTATTGAGAAATTGCATACAATTATTAACTAAAGAGAAGTACCCACAGATTGTGACATCTGCACATTTCATGCTTTCTGACCTCTATATACCATCAGATACAGATCCTGCTAGTCCAGGGTTGTCTGATCAGAGTGATGAAGAGGATACACAAAGTGAATCTAGTATAAATCATGAAAATGAAAAGGATTTGGAAGAGGAACTTGAGGAAACTGCAATTAAGTCTCTAACATTAGCTAATAGTAAGCCAAAAATAGATTTTA